CCATTACCGCCAGACTCGGTCTTACTTCTCCTTTGCCCCCTTTTCTCCAGAGGGAGGGAAAGTCTCCGATTTGTCCGAAGGACAACTCAGAAGCAAACCGCCACAATGTGACAGGTATTCAATATTACACGGCGATCTAGAAGCACCTCGGCTAGGCCATGAATGCCGCCGCCACCACAAGCCAGACTTGTCAGGGATTTCCACTTAGTGTAAGTTTTTGAGTCATCATGTCGAATCTATGATGAAGCTTTCGTGGTAGTTTGTGTGACCCTTGTATACATGTGATACAGGCTCATCAACCAAGGTCCCATCGGCCACCTCCGCCTTCATGCGCATATTCAAGTCGAGTGAGGCTGCACCTAGAGGAGGGGTAAGCACAATTGAATTGACATCCCGAGTTTCCGACCTTGCCTGTTGGCTACGCGCGCTGCGTATTGACGGAAGAGACCGACAACTTCCCCTGTTCTCCAGGATTGGGATGCTGGCAACCAATTAGGGTTCCCCGATGCTTCCTTTTTCAGAGCTGCACCTCAGCTGCACTGTTGGTTGACAGAAACTCCCAATCATGTTGTGCTGCGCAGCCCGCATTAGACAACAGGTTACACACACTTATTAGTTATGTTCCTCTATTAATGCTCATGATTCTGTGCTAATGGCTCTATTAAACACAGGTCATAACCATATCAGATCATACTTATTTATATGCATACCCTTGTTAAGCAGCTTCGCCGTACCCTGTTCGAGGATCCGAAAAGCTTCGAGATGCAAATTTGACTGTGTCCAAATTCAAAATTGCACATCCATCGGAGACTAGGGATCGCTCATTTTTTCCCAGGTCTCTTTACTGGGTTGTCGTAGATCTCCCTGGCTGCTGACCCCTGGGTGAAGCGCGCGATAGCTGAATGTGACATGTCACATTCACATACATCTCGCCGTGTGTTGTACCAGTACATCAACGCTTCAGACCCTAAACACACCCCTGCCAAACGTCCGGGTTCATTACTGGCTTGCTTGGGCCGAAGGATATGTGACATGTACCTGCACACCCCCATCCTACAACAGGTTTTCCTATTTTATTTTTTTGTTTTTTTTTTCAGCTAAACCTTCTCTTGCATCTGGTGGGTGGGCGTCCGCATGGAGCCGAGATAAGGGGCGGGGAGAAGGGGTGAAAGGGGAAAATGATCGATCAAGACATGCATACAGCTGGGGTATTTGCACATCATTTTATGACAGCCCCAAGGAAGATCAGTGAGGCTTTCTCGATCCTCGCTCCGTGTTTGACTTACACGGCTCGCCACCCGAAGCCTTGCCTCTGAAGATGCGACGGCAATTGAGTCAACGGCAACCAACGGATTCGACTCAGGGCAGAAACCTCACGATACGACGGGAACAGCCTCACCTCGCACCTACAGGCTGCTGGTGTCTCTGGCTACCCGGCCATAAGACATGGTCTTTCTGCCACCCCCAGGCCCAGGGATGCCATCCCTGCCTGAGATTGGCCTCTTAACTGTTTCAGTCCAGTTCATCCCAAGCTGGTGGGAAAGGGGGAGGGTAAGGGGAGCTTTTTGACAGACATGGAGGGGCCGGTGTCCCATTAGCCAGACTACTGTGGCGCACCATGATCGACACAGCGATGACTGGAGGGCACCCACATGCATAAGAGATAGTGTCACATCGAGTGATAGATACTAGCAGCCTGAAGTCTCATTCAATGGATCTCACCGCAGCTTTATTAATTTAATTCCTTTTTCCGGGGGTTCTTTTTGCTTCTTGGGGTGGTTTTGGTTTAGATGACTCGCCCCATGCTACCAAGCGAAGGTCTCAGCCGGTACTGTAGGTTCCAGCCCAACGTGTTCAGACAGCCCAACCAGCCGGGTATCGATGTGCCGTGTCTCTCAGAATGGCCGGGGCATGTGGCGGAACTCGAAGCGAGTGTGACGGTTGGAGCTAGAGTCAGATTTCAAGACTATTCGGGGCAAGAAGGCTACTTGGTTGAGGAAACGGAAGTATCTTGTCGTAGTTCAATGTCACTACACTGTAGTTTTGAGCCGTGGTAGGGATTCGGCTGAGGCTGTTGGGTGCTCCACTTGATATCATTAAACAATTATGCTGATACGCTGTGAATATAGTATCATGGTGCAGCTTGAAGTTATTGTGGGAGGTCTTTTCTCGCCAGTGGATATCTCAATGGATGAGATCATTGTTCAATGCCACAGCGAGGAAGGAAGAAAGGTCAGCTGGTCAGTATGATACCATTAGTTTCGTCCACTTACACAATTCATCTTAGCTAGTATTCTTATGGGTTCGGGTCGCAAACCTTTCAGGAAGAGGGTTAAGTAAAACTTAGCAGGCAAACCCGTGCAGAGCAGCCTGTTCATGAATGAATGATGACAGGTCTCACTAAACAGAGGTTATCTAGAACAGCATATGTAGGCAAATATGCAATGTCCGCAGGTTTCCAGCGAGGCAGCCGAGTTTGCGAGACCGTCGGCGTGAGATCCTCCCACGGCAGTCACTCAGGAAGTAGTGGAACTAGATATTCACCCTCGCCTTAGCTACAGCCATGGCAGTGAAGCCCGATAAGACTCTGGATACTTGGGCGACGCAGAAACAAGGGTTGAGATGGAAGATATCATGCCAAGTCCTACGTCGTCAAAAGCTTTTCACAGGGTAGGGGAATTGGGAAATGAAGGTTTTGAATCGAATTGTCATTATCGTGAAGAAATGGCATGGTGCCATGTACGAGTAGCCCCCATTTTGGCCCGCCAAAACGCGCTCTCCTGAAATATCCTAGAACTGGTCTGTGGACGTGCACTGTTAGCATGGTATTCAACCAAGGATAAGATCGGGCGGACGCACCTAGAGTCATGCTCATGCTCACGTCCGTGTTTTCCACCATCTTGGTGAACTCCTCGAAGCTAATCTTCCCATCGCCGTCCAGGTCCGCCTCCATGATGGTCTTGTCCACGATCTGCTGCAGCTGCTGGTCCTTAAGGTTGCTGCCCACCATCATCTTCAGCACGATGAAGAGCTCGCCGTTGCTGATGTACCCGTCTCGGTCGATGTCGTAGACCTTGAAGGCAAACTGCAGCTTCTGCTCCTTGTTTCCCTTGGCGCTGAAGGCGCTGAGACCGCTGACGAACTCCTCGAAATCCACGTCACCGCCACCGTCCTCGTCGAAGATAGCAATCATGCTTGCAATGCTGTTAGCTTGTGCGGTCACGTCTATCGAGCCCGGGCATCTAAACACACCGTGTCGCAAGGGGGTTGGAAGAAATCTGCGGCAGGCTCAAAAATTCCTCGCGCTCGATCGTGCCAGAGTTGTCCTGAGGGGGTTCGTGTCAGTCAGCAGGAGCTGGACAGGGGGGTTCTTGGTGTCGAGAAGGGGGCACCAGCATACTCTGTCGAGCTTCATAAATCGTTTCCGCAGGCGGTCAACTTCCTCTCTGTCGACTGCATTCTCGAGTCAGAATCCCGTGTGTGCAACGTTTGATTGATGGGGTGGGCAAGGCTAACAGTTGGACCCTTGGACGATATTGTCCAGGACGCTACTGGTGGTGTTGCCCATCTTTTTTTCGCTGCTCGTGGCTCGGACAAACTACTTGGCTAGAAGCTTCAATTTGGATAGAATCGGCTGTTCTGTGTCTCGAGGGATCGCTTCGTGGGCCGTCGAGTGGTCGCGTGAGCCAGCAGTTGTCGGGCAGGAGTGGCGGGCGTTGATAGGGCTGCTTGCTGATGGATGGAGTTGTAATATTGAGTGAGACCTCTGGGGGCAACTTTGATGGTGGAGGGGCAGTCGAGGTGTCAGCTAGTGCACGGACCACCTCTTCGCAGAGAAGGCAACCGCTAATTTACAGAGCAGCATCACCATCGCACCCATCTCGATTTATGTGTAATTATAAATGCACATTTTTACAGACTGTCACACAGAGGTCTCGTTGTCTCGGGATATTGAATCTTTATTTTTACACTCGTCTTGGCAACCCTCAATATCTATATTCACGACCATAAACAGGCAAATAAACACACGCATTCCTAACTGCCAAGACGATAAGAATGCAACAAGAAGGACATCTCCAACACGTCGGGAAATGTGGCTTGAAAGTGCAAATTACAACAATTATCACATTTGTGTACTTCTAAAGGCCAATACTACAACACTCCACCGAACAGGTTGATGACAACATGTTACAACAGCCTCCAACTTGAGATGTATATAGGGTAGGTTGCTGTAAAGACGGTGGGCCCAGAGCCAACTCCAATGAGGTTGTATCATTCAGCACAATGAACTAGCGGGGGACCTCAGGACTTTAGTGTACTGTAATTTCTCCGTCGCCGAGGGGACGTTTCCCGCAATGAAACGCAGAACGCGACCGGCTATTCGTATCAAACTTTAAAAACGAAAGCTGTTGTGGTCATGTTGATCTGGCCATTAGCAGGCCCATGGGTGACCCAATAGTGGCCGATTCCGGTTGCCTTTGGTGCTAGTCTAGCTCCAATGTGTCTGGTGGAGGATGTGCACAACAGTATGGGGATTGGGGGGATCAGGCAATTACTGGTTGGCCATGACAGCGCCTTACTAACTGGTTCCAGGACCGTCTACGAGGGTGTGGGGCAGGAAGGAAGAGGGGGTAGTACTCAGGCGCCTCACGCTTTAGGGGAAGCCTAGAGGACTGGCAATAGGGGAGAGTGGTCCGAGCGCCACACATGTATCCTGCGTGCCAAAGATGGCGTACGAGTGACTTAGCACTGGCCAAGTGGCCATCAAATCGCCCGCAATCTTCCACGCTTGCACCAGCGAAAAATCTTCGCGAGGCAAAACAATCCCAACGTCACCTCATCTGCCGCCGACATTTTGACCATCGAAAAGTGCCCCCAAAACCACCTTTTTCATCACCATTTTTGCACAGGGCGATCCTGCACACCCTCTTTTATGACTTGATCGCCTTTTTTTGCGGATTTTCCGCTGGCTAACTGCCTCTCTCTACCACCCTTGCACCATGTCGTCCCGTAAGGTTCGGGTCAAGAAGTTGAGTGTCAAAACCGGCCTTCCGGTGCTCAGGGAGGATCAAATCGACCCTTCAGAGTACGAGGCACTCTCAACCGAGACCCAAATCGCGACCGGTGTCGAGCAGGCTGAGGAAAATGTGAGTTGTTTTCGCCATAGTCAGAGCATCGCGATATCACGTGCACGAACACGTGATATCTCTTGGCACAGACCCCTGCATCCAATCACCATGGACAACCACTCCAGCACTGCAATGCGCAAACCGTATACGGCTGCTAACCTGCTTGTTCGCATAGGAATATCACTTGCAAACCATTCTCAAAGATGCTGGAACCAGCAATGACCAAGAAATCCCGGTCCCGCCTCCACAGAAGAGCGAGATCGACTATAATGACCTATACCCAAGTCAGTATCACCAACCATCGTCCTACATTCGATTCTCGCAAACGGTAGAAGAATGTATCAGCTGTCTTTATGACATGACAGCCGAGGACGATGTATTTCTCAAAGAATATAACAGCAAAGCTCCATCTTCGGGACCTTTACCCGAAGATGACTTCGAACATATTATGGAACTGTTCGAGGACACTGCTGCAGAACAGACACCCTTTGCATCAGTGGATAACACTGTCGTCCCCTATGAAATGATGGCTGCGGGGCTGAATCAGTTGGAATCCCAATCGATTCTGCAGCATGCCAAAGCCATATATGAATATTGGAGATCGAGGAGGCAAGAGATGGCAAACAAACCGCTCCATGCTTCTCTCAAGTTCGAGACACACCAGGACAGTGATGACACCGATCCTTATGTGTGCTTCCGCCGACGAGAGGCCCGCCAGACCAGGAAGACCCGTGGTCGTGACACCAAGGTAGCAGACACTCTCAAGAAACTTCGCCGAGAGCTCGAGGATGGCCGCCAATTGGTGGTACTTACTGCTGAACGTGAGATCATGAAACGAGAGCTCCTGAATGCGGACAGGGCCATCTTTGAAGAACGCGCGCGCTTGAAACAGATGAAGATCAAGCTTGGTATTAAAGAAGGCGATGAAGATCTCATCAACCAAAAGGTATGCTCTCATGGACACTTGCCCATAAGAATTGATCACTTCATGCTAACCCTCCCCCCACAGCCGCAGAAGCGTAAGATCTCAGAAGCACCCGTGATGAACAGGCCTCCTGGGACCCACATGCGAGCAATGCCTGTGCGCGCAGATGGCCGAACAGTCGACTCCGATCTTGTATCGTTGGTCGAAAGGCAAGCTGAAAAGGAGAATGAGTTCCGTACCGATATTGAGATGAAGGTCCAAAACCACCGCAAGTGGAATGCAAACCATATCGATCTCACTCGCGGGCCCCTGTCGCCAGTAAAGGAGCAGGGAACGGAACTGAAGTTCCGACCTGCCAAAACCCAGTACTTGATGACGCCGCCTGCATCGGTATCGGACGAAATGGATGTCGACCAAGAAGGAGGCCCTGAGCCGATGGCCCTTGACCGACTTCCCGTGTTCCAGTTCAAAGCAGGCGGCCATGGTGAGCATGCTCAGCCTAGCCACCCAGCCTTCCGTCGCCGTATAGGACGCTTGAATCGTCTTTGGATTGACCGAAGAGGGTTGGCGTCCCCGTCCAAGAGAGACAGCAGCGATTATGGTGATCGTTGGAAGTACGACTCAGACTCGGACGATGACGAGCAGACCGAGTATGAAGTCGATCCATTTGACACTCGTGCCTTGAAGTTCAGAGCGACGATTCCACTCAGCCCATTTATATTCGGCAGACGCCCAGATATGGCGCCAAGCGGAAACGGGCCAAACGGGCACAGAGCATTGCCGCCAGCGCAGGCAGCCCAAGCGGCTCAAGCCGCACAAGCAGCGCAGGCTCAACAAGTGCAGAAGGCGCAACAAATGCAGCCGACTCAACCGGCATCGTGAACCCTTTTAACCGCCCACCCCCACTTGTCTTTTTTTGTTGTATGATATCGGTCGATGAATGTATATACCCTGATTTGTTGCGGGAGAGGATCGAAGTGTGAGCAGTTGAGGCATCGCTGTAAGCAAGGAGATGGTTGAGATGTATAGTATTTATAATCGTGGGAATCGGGCATTGCGCGGAGTTGGGGAGTCGGGATTTTGGCGTATTAGAAGCTGAGCAGCCCACGGAAGGAAAACGTCAGTCAAGTATATAACTAAACCAAATAAAGTAAAATCTGGTCCGTTGTGGACCACCAAGGATGTCATGTCTCGGAAGACCTTGCTTGCTGAAGATTTGTGCCGAGTCCCCGTGTGTGGTGTGGTTTTGAGCGGGGGAAGGCTGCGGTTAGAATAGCTTCATCCCAAGGCATGGGGTAAACGGAGAGGGGAAAAAAGTGCATGGCTCGGTAGATCATCGCATGAAGAGCCAGTATATAACGAAGGGGAAGGGAAGAGTGAAGGGGGAGCGGATTGGGAGCGCTGTTTGACGTGGAAGGATTATGAAGATATTCCAGGAGCAAAAGGCACCAGGGTCGTCGGCAAAGTTGCTAGTGACAAGCCGAGCAAAAGGAAAAAAAAAAGCGAGCCAGTGAAGAAAAAGCAAAGCAGCAACTGGGCAGCGGAGGAATCCACGTCTGAGAAGCAAGCAATGGACAAACAGGCCACAAGAAACTTTGAGAGCGGTGGTGGTGAGAGAAGCTGGCAAGCCTGATGTTAGGTGAAGGGAAGACGGCCGACTGACTGTTCCAAATATGGGGGAGGATTTCCCGTTGTGTGATCAAAACCAGGACACCCCGAACCAGTAAGAGAGAGCTTGTAGGAGCCGCCGGCGGCCCCTGTGACCATCCGCATGGGTACGTGGGCTACGTACTTATTTTCTGCGTGTGCGACGGCGTGCATGGTGCAGGCAGTAAGGTTAGCAGGAACTGGGGCCAAGGCCAGAGTGACTAAGCAGCCGTGGCTTGGCTGCCCCGCGATGGGCCTTTATCAGCGATAACCTCACTGGGCAGGAGGTGGGATGTTGGAGCTCACAAACGACGGATGGGGAGTGTGCGATTGAGCCAGCCAAGGTCCGCAGCACGGGTTCATGAAGATTTCTCATATTTGATTTCAAATTTCTAAATCAGCCGCTACTGGGTTCGGTTCCATTCTCATTATTCGTCCTCCCAGAAGCTGGAGAATACTGAGGTTTGAAAAATTTAGCCCCTCCATCTTGGTTCATAGACTGCAGCACCCTCCATATAGAGCACCGCCTGGCCCCAAACCCGGCCAAAGAGCACCTCGGACACCTAATAAAACACCCACATACCGTCAATATGGCACCCAAAGAGTCGTGGATCGCCATCGGCTGTGAGGGCTCAGCCAACAAGCTGGGCATCGGCGTCATCCTCCACACTCCCACCAAGACCACCATCCTCTCCAACCTCCGCCATACCTTCGTCTCCCCACCGGGCACCGGCTTCCTCCCCAAGGACACGGCCGCCCACCACCGCTCCCACTTCGTCTCCCTGGTCCGCGCCGCCCTCGCCGAGGCCGCCGTCTCACCCGCCGACGTCGACTGCGTCTGCTTCACCCAGGGCCCGGGGATGGGCGCGCCCCTGACCTCCGTCGCCGTCGCCGCCCGCGCCCTCTCCCTCCTCTGGGGCAAGCCCCTCGTCGGCGTCAACCACTGCGTCGGCCACATAGAGATGGGCCGCGAGATCACCGGCGCCGACAACCCCGTCGTCCTCTACGTCAGCGGCGGCAACTCCCAGGTCATCGCCTACGCCGAGCAGCGCTACCGCATCTTCGGGGAGACCCTCGACATCGCCGTCGGCAACTGCCTCGACCGCTTCGCCCGCACCCTGCGCATCAGCAACGACCCCGCCCCGGGCTACAACATCGAGCAGCTCGCCAAGAAGGGGTCCCGCCTCGTCGAGCTGCCCTACGCCGTCAAGGGCATGGACTGCTCCTTCTCCGGCATCCTCGCCAGCGCCGACGCCCTCGCCGCCCAGATGTTCGCGGGCAAGGCCGACTTCACCCCCGAGGACCTCTGCTTCTCCCTGCAGGAGACCGTCTACGCCATGCTCGTCGAGATCACCGAGCGCGCCATGGCCCACGTCGGCAGCAGCCAGGTCCTCGTCGTCGGCGGCGTGGGGAGCAACGAGAGGCTGCAGCAGATGATGGGCGAGATGGCCAGGGAGCGCGGCGGCAGCGTCTTCGCCACGGATGAGCGGTTCTGCATCGACAATGGCATCATGATTGCCCACGCCGGGCTGCGGGCTTTCAGATGCGGGTACACGACCCCGATAGAGGAGAGCACATGCACCCAGCGGTTCAGAACTGACGAGGTGTTTGTGGAGTGGAGGGACTGAGGATGTGACGAATGATGAAAAAAAAAAAGAAACGATATCAGGTATGGAAAATAAATGACGAAAACGAGCTTGCGTCCACCCGGTATGATATCAGTGTGTACGTGTATGGAAACAACCTGCCGACAGCGCCTCTGTTGGATATCTACGTTTGACCAACACCTCCGCCGTTTAACCTACCGCAGAATAATCTAACCCCAGGAGCATCCGAGCCCGCGCATTTACCCCAAAAAGATAAGAAAAAAGCTAAATTCATTTGCCACCTCTGCTGCCGTGAAGCAGTATGATCATTGATACCCAGTTTCATAAATACATTTCATGTTGACTTTAATGGTGTAGTCCCGGCTAATCCTCAGCTCCCGTGGGCTTGTAAATAATCGTTGTGACATACTGCACATAAGGTTAGCTCAAGGTCGTTGACAGACGTTTAAGTAGATAGTGCTGATCTCTCTCACCTTGTTTCTGTAACGTGTAGTAGCCGAAACGGCTAGGATGCCGTTTTTTATGCTGCTTGTAGCCAGGTGGTTGAGAACAGTATGATTGGGCATATTGAGGACGCTGTTATCATCCTTCATGAGGACAGCTGCATTCAGGATTGGTTTTCCCAGGAAGCCAGGCAGACTGGGTGGGGTGACGAGCTTCTCAATTGCAGCAACGGCGTTCTGGTAGGCGGGTGAGTCCTCAGCCTGGTCAAAGTCTTGGAGGTACTCTGGAATCTCGCAGCGGTAGGCCTCTGGGGGGAGAATTGGCCTGTGCTTTGGCACTTTGGGCTGTTCCGCGGTTTGTGATGCCGACCGTGATGCTCTGTTCTCAACCCCCGCGGCGTCTGCCTTCTGGGAGGCGGCTGCCTGCTTTTGTTGCTGGGCATCATCGGGGCTGACCTCGATATAGTTCACGAGATTGTTGCCGAAGTCCACAGTTGTTGGTAAATCTGGTGTGGTTTGCATGACTCCATCAACCAAGAACCTAACATGGTGCGTTCCGGGAAGGACATGAATAGTGGCGGCAAAACAGCCGGGCTTGCCCTCTCTGCGAAATCCATTGTTAGCTGTAAACGTCCATAATGGGCGAGGTTCACCCAGTATTCCAATTCTCTTTGACCCCCATTCAAGATGTACAAGGCGAACAGAAAGATAATGACGTAGGACAAGACAATAGAAGCCACTGTACCACAACATATGCACCTAACCGAGACGGACGCCATCTTGATAACAAAGTCACAAGAGCACGGGGGTAAGGGGAGGGGGAACGAGACTTACACAGGGTGCAGCCGCTGCTTTCGATTCCATTGAAAGATGGAACCGGTGACATAAACCTTGTCTCCTCCCTGCTTCCATTCCAGCTTGGTCGGTACGACGGGGCGAGTCTTGTCGACTCTCAGTTCCTCGGAGTCCTCCTCCTCGACCGTGCCGGCGCTCAGACCAGAGCTCTTCCTCGTGAGCGAGTCACTGATATCCCCCAGCTCCCCGACGTCGGCGGGCCCCTCGTCCGGAGCCAATATGGGCGACCCAGGCGTGTGCAGCTCCTCCTGGATGGGAAGAGGCAGACGGGGCGGATGAGTCAGATATGTGATGTCCGTGACGCTGCCGTTGGACAGGAGGCGCGGGTCGCCCTGGGCGGCCGTGTCCGAGTTGTAGTGAGCGTGGGGCTGGTTGGCGATCTGAGAGCCCGACTCGATGGGGACGTTGACGGGCTTGGACGGTTCGTGGTGTATCGGTCGAGGCTCGGCCGGCTTGGCCATGTTGCTGTCTTTGTGGCTGTTGGCTGGAGTCGAGACGGTGCTGTGTGGTGAGCCGCTGAGGGAGGAGACGGCAGTGCCCGACAGACTCTTGGGCCGGCTCACGACGGTTGAGCCCTGGGCCTGGGCCAATGAGGCTTCGGGTGGTGCAGCAGACCGTTGGACTGGATGGATGATGTTCCGGGTGTCTCTGCGGCTCCCACGCGGAGACTGCGACTCTTGGCCGGGGGTCGAGGCACCGGAATTTGACGGAGCCGCCTGGGAGGAGGTCGGCGTGCCGGCTTTGGAAGATGTGGAGGGATGGTTACCCATGGTCCTCTCTTTCGTCTCGAGGGCTGGGCTGGGAGAGGGGAGAGGTTAGGCGGGGGGTGGGGAGGGCAGCAAAACAAGGTTGGATGGCTATTATGGGCCGAGAATTCACAAACGACCAGACGAAGCACGAGGGCTAGAGTTGTGTGATGCGGAGCCGATGCGTGGTGCAATGCCCAGTCAGAGCCCAAGTCGGATTTCCCGTCTGGATTCTGGAGCTCTGGCTGCGTCTTTAGCGCCGATCGGTTGGGATGGAGTAGCAGAACGGTCGAGATGTGGGCGGCATGTGCAATCCAGGACGAGCTGCAATTCGCCCGATTGGGTAGGAAGCGAAAAGTCGGAAGCTGGGTTGGAGAAGCCGAGTGTCGTGGCACATGCAGCGGATGTCCCGTTGGGCAGCACTGCGGGCCTTGACGTTTTGACGGTCGCCAGAGACTCTCTCGCGAGGCAAAGACGGGCAAAGCAAGCTACCGGAACCAGTCGTCTTATATCTTGGTGGTCTTGAACCTTCGCGGCTTGTGGGCGGAGGCATGTAGCCCCACCAACCAAGCTGCCTTATCTTATCTCTGGCCGCACATTTAAGTGCGTAGCTGCATTAGCACCGGTATGCACTAACAGATGTACCTGGGGAACCTGCCGGCTGTCGCTGCGCTGGACTCGACGCAACTGTACACAGCGCTAAAGGGGAACACAGGCGCTGCTACAGTGCTGCTTCCTCTCGTTGATGGTCCTCCCTGGAAGCGATCCATGGCCTCGAGAACATGCGCGCATCGTACCCCCGACTGTGTTTATTGGATCATTCGTGTTTCTGCCGCATAACTAGCAGCTGTCCAGCTGATTGATACCTATCCGTCCTTGCATGCCTGTGTTGTATGTGCATCTGCAGGGATTGGCTGGGTGGAACGGACCAATCGAGGGGCAGGCGACTTCCTACATGTACGTCAGAAACCATTTGCTGGGGTGTCGGCAACTGTCGCGTTCCAGACAACACGATATTGCCCTCTTCATCATTTTCACTAACGCCGGCCCTTCCCGGACGCCTTGGGCTGCAAATCCGGCTAAAATGAAACCTGCCAGGCATTGATTGAATGAAAAACGCCTGTTGACGCTCTCCGATCCGAGCCTCCGCCATGGCTGAGGTTCTCGAGGTGCTTGGCTCTGTGCTGGGCTCTGTGCTGGGCGCCCTTGTCCGCTTCCGCTGGACCTTCTACGCCTCCCGCGTTTTCTCAATCCTCATCTTTCCGCTCAAGGCCGTGTCATACCCTCTCTCATACTTCTTCCGCGTCCTTCTCATTATATTCGCCCCCATCATCTATCCCTTTTCTTATATCTTCTCGTGGATCCGCGCCATCTTGGGTCTCTTCGCAGGTCTAGCAGTGAGTTTACTTGTTCCCCTTCAGATTATAGTGTTGTTCGCAATCAAGGTCCGCTGACATTTTCAAATTTATAGCCATTGTATACTTTTGTGAGTACCATTCCTTTTGTTTATGAAATTGAAATCGTGCTAAGCACTAACACAACCAGTTCGGGGTGGCGGCCTTTGTTGGCGTTGTTACTGGGCTCGTCCTTGCTGTTTTCTCAAGCTACCTCTCCTCGATCTTGGGCATGCAGGACAGTCCGTTCGATGAGCAGCCGTCATCGCGAGGGAAGATGAGATATCTGGAAGAGGATGACGATGTGGATGAAGAGGAAGACGATGAGCTGAGTAGAGGAGAATCCTCCTCGGGGGGAGAGATGGACTTGAAGTGGTTCGAGTCATCCTCAGCACGACGGCGACCCGCCTCTGGGCTATTACCACAGATCATTCATGAAGAGCTCGACTCGTCTGAATAGTATTAACGCGGAACTATCATAGCTATCCATGCCGTCCTCGTAGCCGAGTCGCAACCGTTTTTGATTCCCTTTCATTGTGTAACATTCTCCGAAATTCAGTCTAAAGCAGAACAGACCAAGTCTAATGCGATACACTCATAATAGAATTAGTATAACATGGGTGGGCAATCCACATCCTGGCCTTTGTTTCCCTCAACGCCGTGTCAATCCTATGGCAATGGTGGGTGTATCGTGATGCTTCCATAAAAAAAACGACTAAAGATGATAACCCAACGCCTCACTGGTGTAAGCCAGCCCCTCGTCTTTGTTGTTGCTGGGGTGCATGAACCCAAGGGTAAACTGGGGCAGCTCCTCACCGCCGATAGATATCCCTCTGTTCACGCTCGCGCTCCCGGCCCCTATCATGCCTGGGGGATCGACTGCGGCTCTGCTGCCGCCCCTCCTGCCACCGTTCATCCCTTGGTGGTCGATCATCCCTTGGTGGTGGCCTGGGCCGTCGGTCATCTCTTGGGGGTCGATCATCTCTAGGGAGTCGGTCATCTCTTGGGAGCCGGTCATCCCTTGGTGGTCGATCATCCCTTGGTGGCCGGTCGTCGCGGCGACGACCACCGCCTTCGCCTCCGTAGCTTGGTATATACGTGTCTATGTCACCTCCTCTGGGCGCAGCGCCGCCTCTTCGTGGGCCTCGTTCATCCTCGTGAGCAGGAGGAGGTCTACCGGGAGGACCCCGATCTCTCTGCCATCCGGGCCTGCGCTCATCGGGCCTGCGCTCATCCGGTCCGCGGTAACGGCCATTGGCGCCACCGTTGCGACTGCCGTAACCATCGCTGCTATTGAATCCCGCAGTGGGCCCATTCGCATCTGGACCAATGCCTACCGTGCCACCCTTAGGGGCAGGTGGAAGATTAGCCTTGCGATCGTGGAACTTTCTCCGATCCAGCTCGTGGCTTTCTTCGTATTTTGGGATCTCGTGAGGCTCCATGGGCAAGGGTTGCATCTTGAAGTAGCGGTGATCGAGAGCATCGACGGCGTTGATGCGTCGTCGCCAGTCCAGTCTCATCAGGTCCTTGAGCAATTCAACTGCGCCATTGCCAAATCTAGAAAGTACCATGTTAGAAAAAAAAAAGGGGGACGAGTAGTGAATTTGGCTGTGAAACTTACTCCCGGAATCTGTTTTGAAGAACACCAGGCCGTTGGCGTGGTGAAAGATGGGCTCCACCAGGCAGGAGTTTCCAACCCGGCATCGATTCATCAGTGGGAGAGCCCATAAGATCCCAGATGAGATCAAGTTGATGGCTATCACTCTCGCCAGCCAAGATCGGCTTGCCTACCAACATCTCGCCAAAGATACATCTGCATACATTGTCAGTTTGCATGCGCTTTAGGGAGGATGACAGAAAAATACTGACCCAACACCCCACACATCAATGGCGGGAGTGTACTGTCTCAGCTGAAGCAGCAGCTCAGGAGGTCGGTACCATCTGGTAACGACCAGTCCAGTGTAGTCACGGCGCCCTTCGCCCATGTCTTTTCCGGCTTGGGGAGTCGGGCCATCGTAGTGTCTGGCCAGACCAAAATCGGCGATTTGTAGGATGCCTTGGTTGCTGATGAGCAGATTGGCAGCCTTCATATCGCGGTGTAGGATGCGATTATCGTGTAGGTATCGAAGACCCTGTAGTAGCTGGAGCATGTAGCATTTGATCTGTGCCTCCTTGAACTGAACTGAAGGGTTGTCCAGGAGACCCGACAAGTCGTGGTCCATGTAGGGCATTACCATGTACATGATGGGTTTCTTCCTTTTGTCGGCTGTGGCGAGGGGATTAACACTGACGAAGGTCATTGGTGGCCGGCTTGGAGGAGCTTACTTGGTTTTGTTGGATGTTCGACGGCCATGTCCTCAAGTCTCAACACGTTCTTGTGCGAGAGCAGCTTGAGCAGCTTGATTTCGCGAAGAGCCGTAATCGGGAACTATATCAAGTCTTGGGTCAGAAAAAGTCAACCTGGGCAGCTAGGCACAGTCACATACACCATCCTTTTCATGATGCATGATGATCTTCTTCAATGCGACCGAAGCACCAGTCTTTCGAGATCGTGCGCGGTGGACCTCACTGACAGGCATGGTTAGCAATCCAGCTTGCGGTGATTATCGCAGGGAGTTTGCGAGAGCATATCGTACCCAAAGGTTCCTTCTCCCAGCTTCCCCAAAAGTTCATAGTCGGAGATGCGCGAGCAACCGCCGAAGCTCGACTTGGGACGCAGGTGGTTCAGGGCATATGTTCGAGGCGAGGTGCCGTCGGGCGTCCGCTCCACCACTCTTGGCTCGGTAGCCATATTGTACGTTCGCCTTTGTGTTTTCCTTGCAGAAAAATGGTGGTGAAGTTGTCGAGACTAAAAAGCTGTGGGTTCGAGCGTGCGGCTGGGCGAGGTCATCTCAGAGCCTGATGGCCCACGGGACAAGCATTGCCTGCCAACGCAGAATCGGGTTCGGGAGGCGAATCTAATCAAAGTGGTGGTCGCAATCCAAATGTGTGGCACCGGGCCTAGGGAACGAGGGAAATTCAAGTCGAAGGATAAGTGTGGTGTTGAGGAGTGAAAGTCGGAAGCTCCTGGTCGCCGGCGATAAGTATCCTGGACTATGTATTTACAAAGAGAGCCCAGAAGAGCGAATGGACGGGAGAGACTCTTGGATTGGTCTGACCGACCGCGACGGCGGGCGCCCTGAATAGAGGTTAGCGCTAGTGCCGCATTGAAGTGGGCTTCGCGCCTATTGTGCGTATCGGGTACTTCGAGGCCGCCTACAGGTGTCATGCAGCCCCAGCCACCTCAGCATGCCCGGGAAATCTAAAACTGTTTAGGTTTTTCATAATGAGGTGAGAGAAGTTGGAAAGTTGAACGAACCTTTTTAGATCATAGTTGAAGAGTAATTTGTTTATTCACCGGCGTTCTTTTCTAAATTATACTTGGTACCGCCAGGGTTGGGATCTCATCGATGGCACAAAAGCGGCGCTGGTTGCTGTACCTGCCGGATCATTTGAATAGAAAGCTTTCGTATGTCTTGGTCATTGTCCTCTTAAAACAAAGGCCAATACTAAGTAGCCCTTTCAGGCACCGCTTCCCAGCCATCACTATTAGTACTTACTATTAATCGGGCGTCTACACGTGATATAAAATCTACAGCTACTCACTTCAATGTTAGACTCTAAAGTCTTGGTTGGTTCCTTGCATCCCTCTAAATAAATCACGGCACAACACGAAAGACATACGGTCAGAAATACAAATATGATTTGAAGTCGGCAGCTGCCATTGACCGCATACATGCTGCTATTGAGTGGTGACGTTGTGGGGAGAATCCGACATTTGCTGCGCTGCCCCAACTAACGCCATCGTGATTTACCCGTTTTGGGACCGTGACGTACCGTATCTGGATTTCACCGTCTTATGCCTCCCGTCAGCCAACAGCCGTGCGAAATGCCCATACACTGATTGGATGTCTCGAGCCATGAGCGCCTCCTGCGAGAGATTCACCCACTTTCTTTCTCTCTCTCTTTCTTTGCAGCTCGCCCTCTCTCTCGCGGTGAAGCATCCCAATTAAGGCCCCGGTGGTACCTGCATGTAATCAGTCAGTTCTAGAACGAATCCTCCCTCCAGGCTCTCGCTCCCTCTCCGTCATCGCTTCTCCCCACATTGCGCCCGCTCCAAACTATTTCGCATTTCATGGGGGTAATGAAAACCTCCCAAACGAGCCCGCCCAGGCGAAAGCGCGAATCAGTCGAATTTTCATTTGCAAATCCAAACCCTAGAGAAAATTTCTCTCTCGTAAAATCTCGCTGCCATGGCTCCACATGATGCTGCAATCCGGTGTCATGTTGCTCGTTGGATTTTTCCCTCCCCATCTAGTCCCCGTCGAGGCGGCATGTCGTTATGTTACTCTCATATGGCTTGACATCCCCGGACAGGCACAACTCGTACATACAAAAAGCTAGACCCTCCCACCCATGAGTGACATTGTTGCTTTTCGCTTATCACTGCTATCTCGCCGTTTCCGAAGCAGTCTATTGGTTGCTGGCGATTCATTCTGCTGCTAAACCTTGTCTTGCTCCTTATCTTCGACTCGCTGCTTCTCACTAGCGTCTGCCTCATCCCCCGTTGAATTCACAACCCAGCCGTCACTTCGCTCTGCCAGACCTCGAGAGATGGCCACTCCAAGCTCCGCTGGACTGCCAGAGTCCAGAGTCCTCATAATCGGCACTGGAGGCACAATATGCATGCAGCAAGGCCCTGATGGTCTCCAGCCCAGCGGCGACTTCTTGGAGTCCGCCATGGCGCCAAGACCGACCTTCAACGACATGTCTACCCCACGAGGTAAGCTGCCTTGTCCTGCCACACATATATATTATATATATTTGATCATATATATGCTATATTCATTTGCATATATCCCCATTGCATAAGCACCCTGTCCGTGCCTCGCCTTTCATGACGGACTACTCATCTCATCTCACAACACCATCTCATCTCATATCATCTCTTACCACTCAACCCTTCAACTAACACAATCCTCTCTAGTCACCCTGCCAGCAGTGCACAAGGGCAAGCAAATCTCAATCCCCAGCCTGCGCACCCCTCCCACAGCCTATCAGCGCCATGTCCGCTACGGCATCGTCGAGTTCAGCCCGCTCCTCGACTCCTCCTCCATGAACGCCCAGGACTGGGCCGACATCGCCATCTCCGTCAAGGAGAACTACCACCTCTACGACGGCTTCGTCATCCTCCACGGCACCGACTCCCTCGCCTACACCGCCTCCGCCCTCTCCTTCATCATGTCTAACCTCGGCAAGCCCGTCATCCTCACCGGCTCCCAGGCCCCCATCTTCGCCCTCCAGTCCGACGCCGTCGGCAACCTCCTCGGCTCCCTCATCATCGCCGGCACCTTCGTCATCCCCGAGGTCGGCCTATTCTTCCACCACAAGCTCTACCGCGGCAACCGCACCACCAAGGTCTCCGCCGCCTCCTTCGAGGCCTTCGCCAGCCCCAACTGCGAGCCCCTCGCAAAGGTCAACGGCCTCGGCATCGAGGTCAACTGGCCCCTGACATTCCGCCCAACCACCATCGCCGAGTTCGAGATCCTTGCCAACATCGACACCACCCACGTCGCTTGTCTGCGCGTCTTCCCCGGCATTAAGCCTGAGATGGTCGACGCCGTTCTCCGCCTCCCCGACCTCCGCGGCCTCATCCTCGAGACCTTCGGCATGGGCAACGTCCCCGGCGGCTCAGATGGCCAGCTCACCAAGGTCCTCCGCGACGCCATCGACCGAGGCGTCATCATCATCAACGTCTCCCAGTGCGTCTCCGGCTTCGTCTCCCCCGTCTACGCCGCCGGCACCCAGCTCGGCCGCGCCGGCGTCATCTTCGGCCTCGACCTCACCGTCGAGGCCGCCCTCACCAAGCTTTCCTACCTCCTCGCTCTCCCCAACCTCTCCAGGGACGATATTACCACCTACCTCTCCCAGTCTATCCGCGGCGAGATGACCGAGACCCCCCGCATGACCTTCTCCCACCCCGGCAGCTCCCTCGACGACGCCGCCTCTAAGCTCTCCCCCACCGAGGCCGCCTTCGCCGCCCTCGGCTACGCCATCCAGCAGGACAACATCGAGGTCGTCCTCGACCTCCTCGACGGTGACGGCCGCAACCTCATCAAGCAGGCCGACTACGCTGGTAACACTGCTATCCACCTCGTCGCCGTCTCCGGCAACGCAGACATAATGCGTGCACTCCTCCAGCGTGGCGCCAGCGTCCACGAGCGTAACCGAGCTAATATCTCCCCGCTTCTGCTTGCCACCCTGTCCGGGAATGATGCTTGTTCTCAGTTGCTTAAGACTGCCGGTGCGCACTTGTCGAGCGAAGAGCTTGAGAGAAAGCTGTCTAACTGATCATAATGAACTGGCCTTTGCTTTTTGTTTTTCTGGATTTTTTCTTGTCATAGCACTCGATATCGGTGCATATTAGGTTTGGGTTAGAAAATTTGCGAGTGATGAATAGAGAAAACATACGCGAACAAAAATAAAATGATACTTTCTCTTTTGGTTTTGGCTTCCAAAGAGACATTGGGATATATATGTATGTCTATTGATGACTATTCCATATGATTGATCCGGTTCGGTTCTCGTGATTGAAACTGCGATTCCGAAATAGCACCTGCTATTTTCATTGTGTGGAAGACGCTGTTTAGGGAGTATATTGAGTGAGAAATAGGCAAAGAAGTAAGAATCGAGCCTCCACTAAATACGGCCTCTATTCCAACACACGGGCACGAGTGAGTAAGAGGAGGATCTCGCTCTCCAGGCAACAAATTCCGTTCAAGGAACCGTTTACACCTCCAACAGCGCCACTTTCTTTATACACAGCACCATTTCAAAGTGTCTCATACAGGTCCGATAGCATGATGACTTTGCCTCCAACATCTTTGGGACCTAGGTATGTATCTTTACAACTGCGAATTCGAGCTGCGGCATCCAAGTACCCAAAAAACAATGCCTTCTGGAACGGGTATCCCACCAATGCAAATCTGTTTATCGAAGGAAAAGGTCACCTGCGCCGTTCCTTACTGACCTTGTTCTATCCACATGATTCAGGCCGAGGTAGTCATCTTCTGAAGAAGCCGCATTCCAAAGTTGATCATCTTCATCATCAAATGTCAGCAAGCGGGCAAAAAACGAGATGACAAGGACACTACTGACCATCGTTGAGATATTGTGGTTGCGAATAATTCGCTCGGCGGACAACGGCAAACTTGATCTTCTCGAAGCTCTTGCCTTTAAGGCCTGTGCGCTTCTCTAGCCGCTTCTTTGTGTCCGAGAAAACCTCGTTCTATGAATGACATGGTTTGTTAGTATTCAAGAAATGATCTTCGATTTGAGTCTTCGATTTGAGCCACTCATGGAGTCAAAGTGCCATACCTCGAGCAAGAGGAATTTGAAAGGAACGCCGTGAGTCCTGCTAACTTCGTTCTGGAAGTGGAAGACCTGGATGAAGTTGTTCTCGTCTGCTACGAGTTCTTCTTCGGGGACACGCTCGGCATAGATCTGAGTGTACTCGCTAAGATTCAGAACAGGATGGTCTCTGGGAGGCTCCCGGTAGACCCTATTCGAGCTGGTCTCATATATCCTGATCTTCCCGCCTTCGGTCTCATCGGGAAGTTGGGCTTTCTTAATCAGGCCCTGGACTAAATCTTCAATGTTGCCGGTCTTGGAAACCAGAATATCGAATTGCTCCTAGTAATGGTATCAGCATTTTCTTCTCTTCGCACGTGTGAAAAGATTTGATTTGTACCT